GCGGTGGAGATGTACACAGAGGACTGGGTGATCGTGCACCGAAAGTGAGTCGGCTATGTGCGCAGGCTCAGTTCCCACCAGGCATTATCTGGGGCTGGAAGCCTCTTGATTATCTACCACCCTGTCTCTGCAAGGGTGGCTGGACCTTTCCTGTGGAGCACAAAGCCTTGTCCATAACCTGATGGGCATTGCATGCCTCCCTGGGTCCATCAGAGTGTACCGAAAAGTCCTCAGCCCAACCCACCTTCCTATGCTAGGTACCAGTACCTGAGTGCTGCATACAGCCCTGTCACCCCTGAGACACAGCGAGAGAGGCAGAAGGGCCTCACCCGCCAGGTCTTCGAGCAGGACGCCTCTGGGGATGAGCGATCTGGTCCTGAAGACACGGTGAGAAAAGCTCTGGCTGGGATCACTGCCAGGGTGTATACATAGACTCAAAGACCCCATCTTAACCAGTAGATGGGCCTGGTGGTGCATGTCTGTCTTCCCAGTTATGCAGATAGTGTAAAATAGGAGAATCAGCCAGGCACTTGTGGCTCACGCCTGTAATCCTAGCTACTCAGGAGGCTGAGATCTGAGGATGGTGGTTCAAAGCCACGTTCAGAGCAGGAAAGTCTGTGAGACTCTTATCAATTGTACCAAGCCAGGAGTGGTAATGCAGACCTGTAATCCCAAACCTGTACCAAGGAGCCTGAGGCAGAAGGATTGCAAGTTCAAAGCCAGCCTGGGCTTTTGAGAATTTGACAATACTCTTGTCTCACAAATCAGGAGGAAAGTTTTTTTTTTTTTTTGTGAAAATACCGTACAGAGGGGTTAGAATTACATGAGCAAGGTAATGAGTACATTTCTTATCAAGCATTGTTGCCTCCGCCTTTGTTTCCCCTTCCTATCCCTGCCTTCCCATCTTCCTCCCTCCTACCCCCCCCTCCAGGAGGAAAGTTTGAGAGAATTTTATCAGCTCTTTAAGTTGATAAGTTAAGGCTAATTATAAGCACTTATTGAATGCTTAGTGTTTATTGTATGGCAACCATTTTTGCAGGTAGAGGAACTGAGGCACAGCAGTTTATATTAGAGACTGTGTTTCGTCAGTCTACATTTACTTAGCACCTACCACAAACCAACCAGTTACTAAGTATTCACAGTATTGCCATGGCTTTCCTTTTTTTTTTTTTTTTGTATATGTAGATAGGGCAATTCAGGCCTTTAGAGTTGGGGGGCAGGGTGAGAACATGAGAGGCCTCAGGCACGGGGACCTGGCTGAAAGTTTCAACCAGAGCCTTGTGGCTCTGCTCTGACCATATGTGAGGCTAAGTGCAGTGGTCGGGTCCTGTGTCCAGTGGAAAGAACCTGCCCCTCCCCTTGGCAGTGAGCCGCGTCCCAGGGAGGGCTCTCATTGGTCCAGCCCAGGCATCTCCTTACCTTGCAGCAAAGCCTCATGGGAAGCAGTGGCTCCTCCCCTTGGCGGTGAGCCGCGTCCTAGGGAAGGCTCTCATTGGTTCAGCCCAGGCATCTCATTACTTTGGAGCTAGGCCTCATGGGAAGCAGTGGCTCCTCGCCTTGCAGTGAGCCGCGTCCCAGGGAAGGCTCTCATTGGTCCAGCCCAGGCATCTCCTTACCTTGGAGCAAAGCCTCATGGGAAGAAGCGGCCCCTCCCCTTGGCAGTGAGCCGCGTCCCAGGGAAGGCTCTCATTGGTCCAGCCCAGGCATCGCCTTACCTTGGAGCAAAGCCTCATGGGAAGCAGTGGCTCCTCCCCTTGCAGTGAGCCGCGTCCCAGGGAAGGCTCTCATTGGTCCAGCCCTGGGACTGGCGCGGACCCGAATGCGGGACACCACTACCAGCCATGGCTGCTCCAGCGATCACTGGTTCCCCACCCGCAGGACGACTCGCGGCGCAGCTCGGCCTCCCCCGAGGACACCCCTCGCAGCAGCGGCGCCTCTGGCATCTTCGACCTGAGGAACCTGGCTGCGGACTCGCTGCTGCCCTCCCTGCTGGAGCGGGCGGCCCCCGAGGACGTGGACCGCCGGAACGAGGCCCTGCGTCGGCAGCACCGGCCCCGCGCCCTGCTCACCCTCTACCCGGCCCCCGATGAGGTGGGCACCCTGGGTCCCTCCCAACTGACTGGGAACGCTGCATCTCCAACCAGCGGTTATTAGATGCCGACTGCGTACCCCATCTTTAGTCAGTATCGTGATTGCGTATCTACTAGATGTATTTACTAGATATTTCTAGTAAATTCTAGGTTATCTTCTAGGTGTTTGTCCAACTTCCATGGAATGGATATTGATTGTTGTGTTTCCTGATATTTATTTATTGTACACCTACCCTTGATTGATTTATTTTGTTGGTTGTGGGTCTTGAACTCTTCAGCTCAAGGCGAGCGCTCTACCGCTTGAGCCACAGCACCACATCTGGTTTTGTGGTGGTTCATTGGAGAGAAGAATTTCACGATCTTTCCTGCCCGGGCTGGCTCTGAACCGAGATCCTCAGATCTCAGCCTCCTGAGTAGCTAGGATGACAGGCGTGAGCCACCAGCACCCGACTCTTATTTTTTTATGGTAATGGTTTCAACCCAGGACTTGATACTTGCTTTGTCGCTGGAGCCACACTCCCCTGCTCTTTTAGCTATTCACAGGTAGTTTGTTGACCACCGTTCTGAAAATGAGATGGAGAATAGTTTCATAGGCTCACTGTCCCAACCACTACAACTCAAAGGAAATTGGGAGGCAGCGATTGGAGGATCCCAGTGTGAGGCCAGACTGGGGGGAGGAAAGTTGGAGAGACTCCAACTCAACCAATGGCTGGGTGCAGTGGTGCATGCCTGTCATCCCTGTGACCCTGGGGGATAACCGGCAGACATGGAGGAAGGGAAGCATTTCAGGCGGGGAGTGGAGCTGTTCCCTGGCTCTTGGCAGGAGGAGGCCGTGGAACGCAGTAGTCACCCGGAGCCGCCCCGTGAGCACTTCGGACAGAGGATCCTGGTCAAATGTCTGTCACTCAAGTGAGTATCTGACCTGCCCTTCCCCCAGCCCAGGAGGGGTCCATGCCTGAGAGCTGTGGGCATGACTCTAGACAGCCCGGCCACCTGGGGACCTCCCCCACCCCCTGTGGACTTTTATGAGGGGACATAAGACTTATCTCTTTTCTCTCAGTCATGGGGCTTGAACTAAGGGAGTTCAAGGGAGCTGTCCTCAGCTCTTCAGCTCAAGGCGAGCGCTCTACCACTTAAGCCACACGCCACTTCTGGTTTTCTGGTGATTCATTGGAGATAAGAGTCTCATGGACTTTCCTGCCCAGGTGGCTTTGAACCGTGATCCTCAGATCTCAGCCTCCTGAGTAGCTAAGATGACAGGCATGAGCCACCAGCACCAGGCTTGTGTCTGTGTGTGTGTGTGTGTACACCTGCGCATGTGTGAACTTGAACTCAGGGCCTGGCCATTGTCCCCTGAGGATTTTGTGCTGAAGTCTAGTGTTCTACCTCTTGAGCCACAGCTCTACTTCCTGCTTTTTGATGGTTGAGTGGAGATAAAGAGCCTCATGAGTTTTCTGGCATTAGCTGGCTTTGAACCTCGATCCTCAGTTCTCAGCCTCCTGAGTAGCTAGGATGACAGGCGTGAGCCACTGGTGCCTGGCTGAAGCTCTTGAATCTTTAAACGTCAGTGTCCCTGGTCCGTCACTTATCTGAGCTCATGTATGCACAGCCTGTGAAAGTGTAGGTAGGGAAACTGAGGCACACAGTGGCAAAGTCATGGTGCCTGGTGCCTAAAGTCTGTATGGCTTGTGGACTGGGATTCAGGGGGGTGAGGTGGGCCTGGGCTTGGGCCTGCCTCCCGCCTCCTCCCGCCTCCCTACTGTTCCAGGCACTACCCCCCTCCCCTCCCAGCAGCAACAGCGGAGGGGGTGGAAGTAGCAGTGCATGGGAAAGGAAGTGAACAGGATGCAGGCTTGGCCCCCGCCCAGGCTGCCACCCCCCACCCCCAGCTCCTGCCCAGATCCAGGCAGGAAAGGGAGGTTCTATTCTGGCCGGAGGCCCCAGGGACCTTCTGCTTCTGACCCAGTGCTTAGAGAGTCATCCGCCTGCCTGTTGGACAAGGCCTGGGCCAGTGGCTCATGCCTGTCATCCCAGCTACTCGGTTGGAGGCTGAGATCTGAGGAGCACAGTTCAGAGCCAGCTCGGGCAGGAACGTCTAAGAGACTCTTTATCTCCCCTGAACTGCCAGAAAGTGGGAAGTGGTGCTTGTGGCTCAAGTGGTAGAGCGCTCACCTTGAGCTGAAGAGTTCAGGGACAGCGCTCAGGCCCAGAGTTCAAGCCCCACGACCGACAACAACAACAAAAAATTAGCACTGGGTGCTCATTGTGTCATTCAACAAACAGTCATGGAACGCTTTGTGGAGAGAGCACTGAGTCATGAAGAACAGCGATCATAGAGAGGGGTCGGGGGGAGGGGTGTTGGAACCCTTGGAGGCCCCAGGGCCGGCTGCAAGGAAAGGGGTTGAGACCCCACAGGGAGGAGGGACTGGCTTGTGGGATGGGACGGGAGGGATGTGGGGACACATGCAAATTTGGAGACAGAAATGTTTAGGTGTCTGATTTCTGGAGAAGCTAATTTTATTTTTGTTGATGCTGGTAGTCATGGGACTTGAACTTTGGACCTGGGCACCATCCCTGAATTTCTTTGTGCTCAAGGCTAACGCTTGACCACTTGAACCACAGCGCCACTTCTGACTTTTTTTGAGTAGTTTATTGGAGATCTGAGTCTCACAGACTTTCCTGCCCGGGCTGGCTTTGAACCATGATCCTCAGATCTCAGCTTCCTTAGTGGTGTGAGCCGCCGGTGCAGCGACTCTCAGGTTTTTTTTTTTTTTTTTTTTGGTCAGTCGTGGGGCTTGACCTCTGGGCTTGGATGCTGTCCCTCAGCTCTTCAGCTCAAGGCGAGCGCTCTACCACTTGAGCCACAGCACCACTTCTGGTTTTCTTGTGGTTTATTGGAGATAAGAGTCTCTCAGACTTTCCTTCCCTGGGCTGGCTTTGAACCGCGATCCTCGGATCTCAGCCTCCTGAGTAGCTAGGATGACAGGCGTGAGCCACCAGTGCCCGGCATGACTCTCAGGTTTTAAGAGTGTTTTCTGTTTGGTTTCACTTTTTCTTTTTTTTCCCCGCAGTACTAGGGTTTGAACTTAGAGCTCTGTACTTTACCCCTTGAACCATGCCCTCAACAAACCTTTTTGCGTTAATTACTTTTTTTTTTGGGGTCCGGTTGTGGGCCTGAACTCTGGGCCTGGGCGCTGTCCCTCAGCTCTTCAGCTCAAGGCTAGCGCTCTACCACTTGAGCTACAGTGCCACTTCCAGCTTTTTTCTTTTTGCTTATGTGGTGCTGAGGAATTGAACCCAGGGCCTCAGGCATGCAAGGCAAGCTCTCTACCACTGAGCCATCTTCCCAGCCCGTGTTAATTACTTTTGGGGGTAGGATCCACATTTTTGCCCAAGATAACCTGGACCATGATCCTCCTATTTATACTTCTTGCATAGCTGGGATTGCAGGCATGGCTGCTTCAACCAGTTATTATTGGTTGACAGAGGGTCTTGCTACATTTTGGGGCCAGCTGGCCTCGAACTATGATCCTCCTGATCTCCACCTCGAAGTTAACTGGAATTACAGGTGTTCATTGCCACTGCTTCACTCTGGCTTTACGGTTGAATTTTGGCATATTCCCCGAGGAAGCACTGGGGGGGGGGGGAGTGCCCAACTAGATTAGGACTGGGAGAAGATTAGGACTAGGAGTGTTTGATGGGTCTGTAGACTGGCGATGGGGCTCAGCCCAGGGTGGCCAAAGACATGTTTATGTAGGTGTGGATGGGAGGTCCAGGATGAGGCACAAAAACCCTGTGTCTCAGTTTCCCCTTTTTGCCAAACAGGGCATATCTTTCCAGAAAGCCAGAGGTTGGCTCCATTTGGCCCCAAGGGAATCAGAGACCCTCTCCTCTCCCCTCCCTCACCCGCTCTGGTTGGGGGAGGGGGAGGGGAGTCCCGGAGTATCTCCTCCCAACCCCACCCTGCCATTTTGTCCCCAGGTTCGAGATTGAAATCGAGCCTATCTTCGGCATCTTGGCCCTGTATGATGTGCGAGAGAAAAAGAAGGTAAGGAGCCCAGTTCCTTCTTCCTTCCTGGCAGGGCTGGGGGCTTCCTGGAGGCGGCAGCCCACCTGGCCTTCACATCCCCTCAGATTTCAGAAAACTTCTACTTCGACCTGAACTCGGACTCCATGAAGGGGCTGCTTCGCGCCCATGGCACCTGCCCCGCCATCTCCACCTTGGCCCGCTCCGCCATCTTTTCCGTGACCTACCCCTCACCTGACGTCTTCCTGGTTATCAAGGTGCTCACGGGGGGGGGGGGGGGAGGTGTATGTGTATGGTGATGGCCACAGGATCGCTTCCTGCCTCAGTGGATGGAGAGCAACTCCACACGGGGTCCTCACCCGACTGAGATGGGGGGAAAACTCGAGAGATGGCCCCTGAGTTCTGAGACCTGTGGGTGGGCATCTTGGGGACAGGGCATTGCTGGGCACACACACACACACACACACACACACACACACACACACACACCAGTGTGTATGGTCGCTGAAAAACATCATTGGAAAGTTTGTGGATAGATACTGAAAATGATTGATTGTTGGTGGTACTGGAATTTGAACTCAGGGCCTTAAGCTCAGTAAGCAGGCATTCTATCACTTGAGTCGCGCCTTCTAGTCATTGTTTACTTTAGGTAGTTTTCCAATAGGATCTCATACTTCTGCCTGGGATCTTGAGCCTTTTACCTATACTTCTCGAGTAGCCAGGATTACAGATGCACACTACCACGCTTGGTTCGTTCGTTGAGATGGGAGTCTCACTGACATTTTTGCCTTGGCTGGCCTTAGAGTTTTCCTGATCTCTGCTTTCCGGGCAGCTGAGGTTACAGGTGTGAGCAGCCACATCAGCCGCTTTTTTTTCGTTTTAGAATTGTTTTGTTAATCAAGGCAGGAAAGACTAGCTGGCGCATTCATTGGGGATTTTCTGTTTCCGGGTGTGAGATCAGGTTTCCTTCCCTTAAACCTTCAATTAGGTTGCAATAATAATAAAATGAATTGAGTGCCTGCAGGCAGGTCCTGCGTTTGGCCGCTCTTCGCAGGGTCGGGGTGGTTGTGATCTTTATTTTGCAGATGGGAAACAGGTATGGAGCGGGCAAGCGACCTGCCCATGCTGTGCCCCCACAACCTCTTGAATGGTCAAGATTGGAGCCCAGGCTTCCTGGGCTCCAATAACCAAGAAGTATGTAGAGGCTGGGAAGGTGGCTCAGTGGTAGAGTGCTTGCCTAGCATGCATGAAGCCCTGGGTTCAATTCCTCAGCACCACATACACAGAAAAAGCCAGAAGTGGTGCCGTGGCCCAAGTGGTAGAGTGCTGGCCTTGAACAAAAGAAGCTCAGGGACAGCGCCCAGGCCCTGAGTTCAAGCCTCAGGACTGGCAAAAAAAAATGTAGAGCTGGGTGTGTGGCTCAGTAACTCAGTGACAGGACCCTTGCCTAGCAGAGATTCATCCTCGATTCATCCCAGCACATCTTAAAAAAAAAAAAGCCAGGAAACGATTAGCCAATGGCACGTTGGGGTTTGGGGTTTGGGATGGTCTGAGGGATGGGCACGGCTAGCAGGCGAAGTGCCAGAGCATCATCCCAGACAGTGGGAGCCACGGGAGACCAGGGAGGGAGAGCCCCAGCTAGGCCCCAGCTAGGGGTGTCAGGTGGTGCAGCGGGGAGGGCGTGTGTGTGTGGGGGGGGCCCGGAAGGCCCAGGAGGTGGAGAAGGGGCCCGATGGTCCTCACCAGCCCTCCTGCCCCGCAGCTGGAGAAGGTGCTGCAGCAAGGGGACATCAGTGAGTGCTGCGAGCCCTACATGGTGATGAAGGAGGTGGACGCGGCCAAGGTGCGCGGGCGGGCGGGGTCTGGCCGCTGGGGGACCCGGGCCGGGCTGGGGAGGGCCCTGGGGCCCTGAGCTGCTGCCCCTCCACCCTGGCCTCCCCACAGAACAAAGAGAAGCTGGAGAAGCTGCGGCTGGCGGCCGAGCAGTTCTGCACCCGCCTGGGCCGCTACCGCATGCCCTTCGCCTGGACGGCCGTGCACCTGGCCAACATCGTGAGCAGCGCCGGCCAGTCAGAGCGCGACTCCTCCGACTCGGAGGGCGGTGAGGAGGCGGGCCAGCGGGAGCGGGAGCCAATGGGGCGAGGGAGGTGTGTCTGACCACGCCCAGGGGTGGGAATCTGCCGGTGGTGGGCGTGGCCCTCGCGGGAAGGGGCGGGGCCACTGGGAGCTGGATGGGAAAGGTGAGGGGTGGGAGCCAGTGGCAGACAGGCATGGTTAACGGAGAGAGGGTGCTGGAGGGCCGGGGCGGGCATCATCATCAATGGAGAGGTAGGTCAGTAGGAGGGAAGCCTAGGACAGCGGAGGTAGGCGTGGCTGGCAAGAGAAGGTTCCCTCGGTGGTGGGTGTGGCCCGAGGAGGTGGGCGTGGCCTGTAGGGAGGGCGGCCGGTCCCGCCATCACCGTGGGGGAGCATCGCGCGCCCTCTGCTGGCCGGTGGTGGCGCTACGCGCAAGTCAGTCAGGTCTGTCTGTCCCTCCTTCTGTCTCCCCCAGAGCGCCGTCCTGCCTGGACTGAGCGCCGCCGCCGGGTCCCCCAGGACCGAGCTAGCAGCGGGGACGACGCCTGCAGCTTCTCTAGCTTCCGCCCGGCCACACTAACTGTCACCAACTTTTTCAAGCAGGTGTCAGGACGGGAGGGTGGGGGGAGAGGACACGGGGCGGGGGGAGGGCGGCTCCTTCCTCCCCACTCCCCCGGGGCCACGCGGCATGGGGGACTGACAGGCGCGCCGTCCTCACAGGAGGCTGAGCGGCTGAGCGATGAGGATCTGTTCAAATTCCTGGCGGACATGCGGCGCCCCTCGTCCCTGCTGCGGCGCCTGCGGCCTGTGACCGGTGGGTGGGGCTTGTGTGAGGGACGGCTGTCACTCAGTGACCGGTGGGTGGGGCCTGTGTGAGGGACGGCTGTCACTCAGTGACCGGTGGGTGGGGCTTGTGTGAGGGACGGCTGTCACTCAGTGGCCAGTGGGTGGGGCCTGTGTGGGGACGGCTGTCACTCAGTGGCCGGTGGGTGGGGCCTGTGTGGGGACGGCTGTCACTCAGTGGCCGGTGGGTGGGGCCTGCGTGGGACAGCTGTCACTCAGTGGCCGGTGGGTGGGGCCTGTGCGGGGACAGCTGTCACTCAGCCAATGGTGCCATGACCTGGATTTCCAGCCTGGGCCCGGAGGGGATGGGGTCACCAGGGGCCAGCGTGGCAGGAGAGCTGCCCAGATGGGGGCGGGCCGGAGGAGGCGACCCTGTGCCCTTTGTCCCCCAGCCCTGATGCCCCGATTGTGCGTGGGGGCCTGGCTCAGGAGCTCTGGCAGGTACGAACCCACTTCCCTCTCCCCAGCTCAGCTCAAGATCGACATCTCCCCGGCTCCTGAGAACCCCCACTTCTGCCTGTCCCCCGAGTTACTTCACGTCAAGCCCTATCCGGACCCCAGGGCCCGGCCCACCAAGGAGATCCTGGAGTTCCCAGCCCGGGAGGTCTACGCCCCCCACACCTGCTACAGGTACCAGATTGGGGGGGTGCAGTGCTCGGAGGGGACGGGCTCTGAGAGACGCCCCCCATTCTCACAGAGACACGCAGACCCCTGAGGGGAGACAGCCAGTGCGTGGCTTTAATGTGGGGGGTGTTAGGTACAAAGGGGTTCATGTCTTCCTCCTGCTCTTCCTCTCCTCTGCCCTCAATCCCGCCTGCTGGGGGGGCGGGGGGACTCTGCTCCTTGGCCGGAAGCGGGGCACCCTGGCTGACCCCCAGTGGGCGGGCAGCTCCTCCCTGTGCAGGCGCCCGGAAGCGTCCCTTGAGACGTGACTGGACCTCGCTTCTCTCCAGGCAGGAGGCTCAGGCTGGTAGCGCTGCCGTGTGCAGCCTGGGGAGAAACAAAGATAGGGGCTCAGTGACCAGGCCAGTGGGGGGGGGCGCGCTCGTTCTAGCTGCCCCGGGGTGCTAACCCCAGTCCCTGGCTGGACTCCCCGCGCGCTCACCTCTCCTGGATCTCCTGAAGCCACTGCTGCTGACTCTCCATTTCCCGCCTCTGTCGCTGCAGGTGACCCGCCAGGGCCCACACCAGGTGGCTCTGCTTCTCTGCATGAGCCTGTGGGGGCAGAGGCGCGCCTCAGTGGGGCCATGGGGGGGGGCTGCTCCCCTCCAACCCCATGATCCTGCCCAGGCCCCCCTCCCTTTGTATCTGGGTGATACTGGAACTCAACAACCCTCCCTGGCCTCAGTTTCACCATCTGCGAAGTGGGCTGTGTATGTGCATGCGTGCGTGTGTGTGTGTGCGTGTGTGTGTGTTTGCGCGCCAGTATTGGAGCTTGAACTTAAGGCCTGGGCGCTGTCCCTGAGCTGCTTTTTGCTCAAGGCTAGCACTTTACCCACTTGAGCCACAGTACCACTTCCAGCCGGATGTGGTGCTGAGTCGAACCCGGGGCTTCATGCATGCCAGGCAAGTGCTCTACCTTCCCAGCCCAGAAGTGAGTTTGAAGAAAACCACTTACCTTAATGGTCTCCAGCTCCTGGCCGGCGCGGCCCAGCCAGGCCCCCCTCAGCTGGACTTCCAACTGCTTCACATTGTCCCTCAGCGCCCGCTGGGCCTCGGCCACCTCCCTCAGCAGCTGAGCCGAGGCCTCTGCGCGGAGCTGCAGTGCATCCTCTTCTGTCTGCTCGAGAAATAGAGTAGGGCGTTAAGACAGTGACCAGCTTGCTTTCTGGGCTCTCCTGACCTCTTAGACAACCTAGTTGGTCATCTTTGTGCGGACTCCTATGTACCCCACAAAGCCCCAAGTGTCATGCCCACCTGCATCTCCAACAAGTTGGTGCGAAGCTTCTGTGTGGCATCCCAGCCCTCATGGACACGGGTGCCCAGGAGCCCCAGTGCCCGGTCAAAGAGGCCCACATTGCGCCCGGCCTCCAGCAGCCGATCCTCCGTGCCCTTGTACACGCCATTCAGAGCCTGGCCCAGCTGTAAGGCCCCGTGGAAGAGCAGGGTCAGCTCCTCACGCTGGGCCGGCTGGGCGCCCTCCACGGGGGCCGCGGGGACGGGCCGCACCGCCATGACCAGGGCGCACAGCACGCACAGAGACAGCGCGGGCATAGCTGCTTCCGTCGATTCCGTGGTCTCGGAGCCACTGCTGGGGACTTTTATGGCCCCGGCCGGCGTTGGCCCTGGTCAGTGGTTCACTCGAGTTGTGCAAGCGCCTGGCAGAGGCGGGGGATTGCATCAGGCGCATGTCTGGCCCAACCACGCTGGAATCATGACAGAGGCTCATGGCCCAGCTTGGGGGGGGGGGGCGCACACTGGGTCAAGCCAGGCCCTGGCCTCTATCGCGAGACTTTATCGTACGGTGTTCCCACTGAGGCTCACGGCTGCGGGAGGCCATGGCTGAGCCAGTCCCGCCAGGATCGGCTCCAGGCACATGGAGGGGAGGGGAGGGGAGGGGAGGGACAGTTCTCAGCCTTCCGCCATCAACCTGCCATGCAGGGGTCCCTGAGCGGCCGGGGAAGCGGGGTACAGGTGGGAGAGTCCATGGGGTGGCCGCCCCGGCCAGACTCCTGGACCCAACCCTTCCCCTGGGAATATTCCAAACCACCACGTCACTTCCCGGCTGCTGATGGGGCTCAGCACCTCGTTTGTCTGACCCGTAAAGTGCAGGTCCTGAGTCCCCCCCACCTCGTGGCCGCGTGTGGGAAGTAAATGGGTTGGCTGAGTGCGGTCATGCATGCGTGTAATCCCCGCTCCCTGGGAGGCAGGGATGGGAGGACCGCCGGCACGGACAGCGAGGCCTCATCTCCACCCGTCAGCGGGGTGCGGTGGTTCGTGCCGTCATCTCTGTGGCAGGCACAAGGGGGAAGATGGGGGTCTGAGGACGTCTGGGGGTATGGGGGGAAAAAAAGCCAGACCTTGCTTGCAAAATAACCCAAGAGGGCTAGAGGCATGATTCAAGTGGTAGCGCTCCCTGCCTTGGGAGTGTGAGGCTTTGAGTTCAAACCCCAGTACCACCAAGAAAAAAGAAAACAGTGGCTCACGCCTGTCGTCCCCGCTGCTCAGGAGGCTGAGATCTGAGGATCGTGGTTCGAAGCCAGCTCAGGCAGGAGAAGTCGGTGAGGCTTTGTAGCTCCCAGTGAACTATCAAAAGACCGGAAGTAGAGCTGTGGCTCGAGGGGTAGAGCTCCTGCCTTGAGCACAAAACCTCAAGGACAGTGCCCAAGCCCTGAATTTAAAAAAGTAAGTGAGTTATTTGACACCGGGCACTCAGAACAGAGCCCAGTGTCTGGGAGGTGTGCCACGAGTGTTTGGTGCAGTTATTTGCCACCATTGGTATACGACCAAGGCTGAGCTAGAAGCTGCAGTGTCCTGGTGATACAGGAGACAGAACGCAAACTCCAGCCCCAGCCTTGAAATCTGGCCTGTTTCCCCAGCCTAGAGACAGGCTCTAAGACTTCGGTGTTCCTTGGTGAGTGGGGGGGGGGGGGAAGGTCCGGCATGGGGGAGCCCAGCCACATCTCGGAAGCAGCCTCAGTGCCCATCTGTTCCCTCCCCCTCCCCGATAGGCCCCCTCCCCTGTCTGTGCTTTGAAGAGGCTGTGGGGTCCCCCATCTCTGCCTCTTCGTCTGTGATAGACTCCAGGCTGGTGCTCTACCATTTGAGCCACAGCTCCACTTCCAGGTTTTGGATGGAGATAGAGACTCACAGACTTTCCTGCCCAGACCGGCCTCCAACCACGATCCTCAGATCTCAGCCTCCTGAGTAGCTGGGATAACAGGCGTGAGCCACCAGCGCCCGGCTTCTACCTGCTGCTTGGGATTGCACCTCACCATCGCCCCATGTGCCGTGGCCTGGTGACCCACTGTCCTGTGCTGTCTGGGCCCTGGCTCTCTGGGGTACTCCCCCCTCACCTCGCTGTCCCCCCAGGAACCTGCTCTACGTGTACCCACACTGCCTCAACTTCAGCAGCCGCCAGGGCTCCGTGCGCAACCTGGCTGTCCGAATCCAGTACATGGCGGGTGAAGACCCCAGCCAAGCCCTGCCGGTCTGTGGACAGGACTCGGGGTGGGAGAGGGGAAGATGGGGGGGGTGATGTCCCGATGGGCCCCTCATGGCATGTTCCCGCCTCTCCAGGTCATCTTTGGCAAGTCCAGCTGCAGTGAGTTCACCCGTGAGGCCTTCACGCCGGTGGTTTACCACAACAAGTATGTGGGTGCGGACGGGGGCGTGAGCCGGGCGGGGAGGGCTGCAATCCCAGCACCTGCGCGCAAGAGGAGTTTGAGTTCCACATCAGCTTGGGCTCCATAAAAAGAGACCCTGCCTCGGGGCTGGGAAGGTGGCTCAGTGGTAGAGCGCTTGCCTTGCATGCTCGAGGCCCTGGGTTCGATTCCTCAGCACCACATAAGCAAAAAGAAAAAAGCTGGAAGTGGTGCTGTGGCTCAAGTGGTAGAGCGCTAGCCTAGAGCTGAAGAGCTGAGGGACAGCGCCCAGGCCCAGAGTTCAGGCCCCACGACCAGGCCCCCCCCCAAAAAAAAAGAAACCCTGCCTCAAAAAGAGACAAAAAAGAGAAAAACCAGCCAGGCGCTGGTGGCTCAAGTCTGTCATCCTAGCTGAGCTATGAGGATCTGAGTTCAGAGCCAGCCCAGGCAGGAAAGTCTATGAGACTCTTATTTTTCAATGATTCACCAGAATCTACCACTTGAGCTATGGCTCAAGTGGTAGAGCATTAGCCTTGAGCACAAAAGCTCAGCAATAGCACCCCAGGACCAGCACTAAAAACAACAACAAAACTGGGGGCCCACACGGGGTCCCTAGTGGCTATTAGAAGATACATATGCATGCCCAAGTTGGGAAATGGGCAGAAAAGGGGTGGGTGATCCCCCTCCCCGAGCTGACCCCCCCCCCTGGCCCTGTCACTCCAGGTCCCCCGAATTCTACGAGGAGTTCAAGCTCCAACTTCCGGCGTGCGTGACCGAGAACCACCACCTGCTCTTCACCTTCTTCCACATCGGCTGCCAGCCCCGGCCCGGCACTGCGCTCGAGACGCCCGTGGGCTTCACCGTGAGTCGGGTCACCCGGCTCAGCCCCTCCTGGTCCCCCCTCTGGGCCAGACCCCCCCTTGACCCCCCCTTCTCCCCAGTGGATCCCCCTGCTGCAGCATGGACGCCTGAGGAGCGGCCCCTTCTGCCTGCCCGTGGCCGTGGACCAGCCGCCACCCAGCTACTCCGTGCTGACCCCCGACGTAGGTGTCTGACCCCCCCATTTACACACCCCAACATGCCCAGCTTCTGCTAACGCAGAGCTCTGCCTCTCCTTCCCCCAGAGGCGAGCGCTCTACCCCTTGAGCCACAGCGCCACTTCCGGTTTTCTGGTGGTTCATGGGAGATAGGAGTCTCATGAACTCTCCTGCCCGGGCTGGCTTTGAACCGCGATCCTCAGATCTCAGCCTCCCGAGTAGCTAGGATGATAGGCGGGAGCCACCGGTGCCCAGCTCCCCCAGGAACATTTCTGGAGCTCCTGGGTGCCTCACCGCCACCCCTCTTCCAGCTTTTGGGGAGTCCTGGGGGGAGGTCCGGAGTCCCTCTCCCCGTTCCCCCTCCTGGCAGCATTGCTGGCCCATTGCTTCCTTTAGAGTTGGAGTTCATGGGGGGACAAGTTTCACCCCCTTCTCCAGTGTCCTGAGGATCACGTGACTTGCATCTTGCCCAAGGGACGTCCCCTCTCCCCATCCCAGTAGAACTAGGGCAGGGTCAGGGGTCAGGGGTGCCCCCCCTCAGGCTGGGCAAGTGGGCAGGTCACCGCCCGGTGGCCTGACAGGTGTGAGGGGGGGCGGCCTGGTGCCCATCGGTGTCCCCCCTCCCGCAGGTGGCCCTGCCGGGCATGCGTTGGGTGGACGGCCACAAGGGCGTGTTCAGTGTGGAGCTCACAGCCGCATCTTCCGTGCACCCCCAGGTAAGGGGAGCCCCAAAACCCTCCCCTTCTCCCCTCCCCCCCCAGCAGCTGGCTCCTGATTGCTCTGGGGTTGGGCAACGGCTGTTGGGAGCCAAGGGAGGGCTGGGCCTGTCGACGTGACTTTGGTCAGCTGGGGGGGGGGAGGAGGGGCTGTGGTAACCCTGAACCTCTGCTCCCCTCGTGTCCCTCCCTCTACCCTCCCCCAGGACCCCCACCTGGATAAGTTCTTCACACTGGTGCACGTCCTGGAGGAGGGGGCTTTCCCCTTCCGGCTCAAGGACTCGGTGTTGAGCGAGGGGACGGTGGAGCAGGAGCTGCGCGCCGGCCTGGCCTCGCTGCGCCTGGCCAGCCCCGAGCCCCTGGTGGCCTTCTCCCACCGGGTCCTGGACAAGCTCGTCCACCTGGTCGTGCGGCCCCCCGTCATTGGAGGCCAGATGGGTGAGCCGCAGCGAGCGAGCAGGGACACGGGCCTCAGTTTCCCCTTCGGGTCCATAGCCCCTGGATAAGTTCTGGATGCCCACGGGGGTCCTCGGGGCCCCCCCTCCCCATGGGTGTCGCTGTGGGAGACCAGGGGGGAGGGGAGAGGCCTTGGGCCCTGGAACTTGGCCTCTGCTCTGCCCGACAGTGAACCTAGGCCGGGGAGCCTTTGAAGCCATGGCCCACGTGGTCAGCCTGGTGCACCGGAGCCTGGAGGCAGGCCAGGACGGCCGCGCTCACTGCCCGCTGCTGGCGGCCTACGTCCACTACGCCTTTCGCCTCCCTGGCACTGAGTGCAGTCTCCCTGGTGGTAAGTGCTGGTGGAGAGCCAGAACCCAAGACAAGAGCCCATCCGGGAAAGGGAAATAGCATGTGTTTGCCTCGCATGCATGAGGCCCTGGGTTTGATTCCTCAGCACCACATAAGCAGAGAAAGCCAGAAGGGGTGCTATAACTCAAGTGATAGAATGCTAGCCTGAGCCCAAGAGCAGAGAGACAGCGCCCAGGCCCAGAGTGCAGGCACTGGGATGGACACACACACAAAAAAAAAAGAAAAGAAATTACTTTAAAAGAAAAAAGTTGCATACTAGTGGCTCACATCTATCATCCTAGCTGCTCAGGAGGCTGAGATCCGAGAATAAATGTTTGAAGCCAGCCTAGGCATAAAAGCCCCTAAAACTCTTATCTCCAGTTAACTACCCAAAAAAGCAGGGACTGGAGCTGTGGCTCAAGTGGTAGAGCACCAACCATGAACAAAACAAACAAAAAAACTAGCCGGGCACCAGTGGCTCACACCTTTCATCCTAGCTACTCAGGAGCCTGAGAGCTGAGAATTGAGGTTCAAAACCAGCCCGGGCAGGAAAACCTGTGAGAGTCTTACCTCCAATAAACCGCTGAGAGGGCTGGGAAGGTGGCTCAGTGGTAGAGTGCTTGCCTTGTATGCCTGAGGCCCTGGGTTCAATTCCTCAGCACCACATAAGCAAACAGAAAAAATGCCGGAAGTGGCGCTGTGGCTCAAGTGGCAGAGCGCTAGCCTTGAGCTGAAGAGCTGAGGGGCAGCGCCCAGGCCCAGAGTTCAGGCCCCACGACCGGACCCCCCCCAAAAAAAAAGAAAAAGGAAAACCAATAAACCGCTGAGAAAACGAAGTGGTGCTGTGGCTCAAGTGGTAGAGCGCTGGCCTTGAGCTGAAGAGCTGAGGGACAGCGCCCAGGCCCCGAGTTCAAGCCCTATGACCGACAAAAGAAAAAGAGTTGAGTTGTTTTCTTGTTGCCCAAGTGTTACATAATTAATACCACCCGCTCAGCGGTGGGTGCACACTTTTTCTCAGATGGCTTTTGTGTCTGCCTATCTCTGCTCTAAAGCAGTAACTCCTTTTCAAGAGAAAAGGGAAAGTGAGAGGAGGAAAAATAACTCCTCCACAGGATGGGCAACAGTGGCTCCCACCTCTAATCTCAGCGACTCAGGAGGCTTTTTTTTTTTTTGGAGGTTGTGGGGCTTGAACTGGGCCTGGGCGCTGTCCCTCAGCTCTTCAGCTCAAGGCAAGCGCTCTACCACTTGAGCCACAGCACCACTTCCGGTTTTCTGGTGATTTATTGGAGATAGGAGTCTCATGGACTTTCCTGCCCGGGCTGGCTTTGAACCGCGATCCTCAGATCTCAGCCTCCTGAGTAGCTAGGATGACAGGCGTGAGCCACCGGCGCCCAGCTGAGGCTGAGCTTTTGAGGATCACGGTTCGAAGCCAGCCTGGACAGAAAAGACCATGTGACTCTTCTGTCCAGGAAACCACCAAAAAGCTGGAAGTGGGGCTGCGGCCCAAGTGGTAGAGCGCTCACCTGCAGTGAAAAAGCTAAGCCAGCAGGCAAGGCCCTGAGTTCAAGTCCTAGTACCCAAGAAAGAAAGAAAAAAAAAACAATACACTTCTCCGACAGTTGCCAACTGGGAAGGGTTTGGGGGTGACTGGGCAGGTGGGGGAGGGCTGACTCTGTCCCCCCCCCCGTCCTCAGGGGCCCCTCCGGTGACGGTGCAGGCTGCCACCCTGGCCCACGGCTCCAGCCGTCCTACTAGCCTCTACCTGGCTCGATCTAAAAGCATCAGCAGCAGCAATCCCGATCTGGCCGTGGCCCCCGGCTCCGTGGACGACGAGGTCTCCCGGATCCTGGCCAACAAGGTAGGGGGAGGGCATCCCAAACCTCCAGTCGTGGCCGTGGCTTCCGGATGGGTGGGTGATGGAGGGTGGGAGACAGCACGCTCCCCCTCCCCCCAGAGGAAGGCTGGGTACCCGGCAGGAGTGTGTGGCCTGGTCCCCGTGGCTCAGCCTGCCATCCCAGCTCCTCAGGAGGCTGAGATCTGAGGATCATGGTTTGAAGCCAGCCCGGGCAGGAAAGTCTGCGAGACTTCTTCTCTCCCACGGGCCAGCAAAAAGGCAGAAGTGGCATTGTGGCTCAAGGGTTCGAGTACCAGCCTTGAGCACAAAAGTTCCAGGGCAGCACCCAGGCCCTGAGTTCAAGTTCTGAGCCACACACACACACACACAGATGCACGCACGCATGCATGCACATAGACAATACAAACAGAAGTGTGGCCAGCTGTTCAGTGCCTGTGTACGTGCATGCCCCGGACTCGCACACGTCATGGCCGTGGCCCCCATGCTCCCCCGGGCACGGGCACTGGTGGCCACTGCCGGCCGGTGTGCCCGCGCCCCCCCCCCGGGGGCGGCCCTCGCCTCTCTGACCTGTGCATCTCCAGGGCGTCGACCGCTCCCACTCGTGGGTGAATTCCGCTTACGCTCCAGGTGGCAGCAAGGCTGTGCTGCGGCGGGCGCCCCCTTTCTGCGGGGCTGAGCCCAGACAGGTGCCCTTCCCCCTCCACCTGGCACTCCCCCCCTCCCCCTGTGATACCGCCACGCATGCGCACCTCCACCTCCCACTAACCCGGGGTGGCTGCCCGCGTCAGGCGGCCGGCCTACTTCCTGTCTTTGAGGCTGTAGAGTCTGCGTGGCAGACATCCTTGGCATCATCAGAGGTGACTTTGGGTGTCACCTAGGTGACAGCCTGGGCTGGGCATGGCTCAGTGGTCCCACGCATGTCTAGCGTGTGTGAAGGCCCTGGGGTCCACCCCCCCCCAACACTGCCAAAAACAAAGGCAAAAGGAAACACAGGCCACAGCCCGCGCAGAGACAGAAAGCACCAGGGTGACATGCAGGTGCATGCAAATGCATGCAAATGAGATGCAAATCCTATCACCTATAACTCTCGTGCCCTGCATGGCTTATTTCCCTCTCTCCCACCCAACTCTCTGCCTTGGCACAAGCAACCTGCATGGCGGCAGCGCTCAGTGGTTGCCTGGATCCTCTGCCCCTCTGGAGATCAAGGATTCCCCCCTCCCTCCCCGCCCTTGTCCTGGTGTGGCCCGGAGCTTTGCCGCCAGTTAGACCTGAGTTCAAGTCCCACTCTGCTACCGCAACAGGCTGTGTTCCCTCTCTGACCCTCTGTTTTCCTATTTATTCACTGAAGCTATAGCAACATGGTGTGGTATGGTAGCTCATGCCTGTAATCTCAGCCCACAGGAGACTGAGGCAGGAGGATCACAGGTTTCAGGCCAGTCTGTGTTACAGAGTAAGACCCTGTCTAAAAGAAAAACAAAAGACCACCAAACCAGCCAAAAAAGGAAATGGGACAAAAGAGAGCTGAGTTTCTATTGTCTCCTGCCTGGAACCCTAGCCACTCAGGAGGCTGACGGCCAAAGGATCAGCATTCGAGGCGAGTCCAGACAGAAAAGTCTGAGAGAAGATCTCCAGTTGGCTGGAGGCATGGCTCAAGTGGTAGAGCACTAGCTGTGAGCGAGAAAAACACGTGACAGTGCGAAGTCCTGAGTTTAAGCACAGGTATTGGCACAAAAAGAAAAGAGACAGAACGAGGCGCCCACGTCCATCTTTAGGAACGTGATGTTTTTGTTGGGCTCTGAAGAGGGTGATGGAGCCGGACAGAGTAAAAGGAGGGAGGTTCCAGGGTCAGAGAGAAAGGCGCAGAGGGAGGCCTGAGTCCCACACAGCTGGCCCTCGGGCCGGTTAGTAGGCACTGGTGGCTCACACCTGTAATCCCATCTACTCTGGAGGCTGAGATGTGAGATCTCAGCGCTGAGATTGTGGTTCAAAGCCAGCCTGGGGCAGGAAAGGCCCAGGAGACTCTTATCTCCAATTAACCACTCAAAAACCACTCTAGCCTTGAGCAAAAGAGCTCAGGGACGGCGCCTAGGCCCTCAGTTCCAGTCCCACAGCCACACACAAAAAAGGGATGGTCCTCTCCCCAGGTCAATGTGGATCCTGAAGTCTTGGCTCATGGACCCTGCCTAGCAACAACTCTACTTGAGTCACACACACTGAGCCCATTTCTTCAGTTAGCTTTCAGTGAAGGTCCTGTGTTTCTGCCCGAGGCTACCTAGGACCATGATCCTCCTGTCCTAGACTACTCATAGCCAGGATGACAGGTGTGCACTATGACACCCCACCTCCATGGTTAAGATGGGGTCTGGATAACATTTTGCCCTAGACTGTCCTCAAACCCACATCCTTCCTATCTCCACATCCCCAATAGCTGGGATTGTAGACAGGAGGTACTATGCCTGGCTTTATCTTGCTTTCAGAATTTCTGCTCTGGCTGGTGTCAAACTCAACAACCTTCGATTTCTACTTCCTGAGTAGCTGGGATTATAGGTGGAATCCACTACACCTGGCCCTAAGTCATCCGTATTGAACTATCTCACCTCCTAACTGCCAAGGGGTGGGGAGGGGAGGAGAGTGCAGCTTTGCACCTCCCCGCTCCTGGACCCATTTCACAGATGGGAATACTGAGGCCCCTGGCAAGGCTGGAGCAGGCCCGGGCCTGGAACCGGCTCTCTCATCACATCATGTCCTCTGTCCATGCCCCATCTCCCGCTCCACCTTCTCTCTGGCCCACCCCAGCTCACCTCTTCTGACCGCTCGTGACTTTGGCCCTCTGCGGATTCATTCACATGCTCGCTCGCTGGCCAGACTTGGCTCCATCCTGCCCCTTCAGCTTCTAGGGGGACATGGCCGCCTGTCCTGCTCACTTCTTTGTAACCTCCTCACCATGGCTTCTCTGTCTGTCCTTTCTTATTTGTGTTTTCTCTTTCATGTCGGTCATAGGGCTTGAACTGGGCCTGGGCGCTGTCCCTCAGCTCTTCAGCTCAAGGCGAGCGCTCTACCACTTGAGCCACAGAGCCACTTCTGGTTTTCTGGTGGTTCATGGGAGATAAGCGTCTCATGGACTAGCCCGGGCTGGCTTTGAACCTGGCTCCTCAGATCTCAGCCTTCTGAGTGGTAGGATGACAGGCGTGAGCCACTGAACCTGCCTTCGACCCTTGGAGGGATTTTTTTGGGCATTGGTCTTAGTATGCAGCTGAGAGGCTAGGGTGCTGGGATGGGAGCTTCCACTGCTACCCCTGACTTTGTGAGGAAGGCTCCTGCCTGTCATCCCAGCCACGAGGAGGCTGCGATCTGAGGACGGCGGTTCAAAGCCAGCCTGGGCAGGAAAGTCCGTGAGACTCTGATCTCTAATGAACCACCAGGAAACTAGACGCGGGGCAAGCCAGGCCGGCCTCGGCGTCTCTCTGCCTGTTTGTTCTGAGTCACCTCCTCCATCCACGCGGGCCCGCGGCCTCCGGCCTCCCCCGCCGGGCCTCCGCCCCCCTCCCATGCTGTCGCGGCATTCCATGCTCATCATCCATCCCAGGCCTCGGGCCTCCGCCCCCCTCCCATGCTGTCGCGGCATTCCATGCTCATCATCCATCCCAGGCCTCGGGCCTCCGCCCCCCCCATGCTGTCCCGGCATTCCATGCTCTTCATCCCAT